CTTGTTTAGCATAGTTAAGCAGTTTGCTGCTCAAAAACTTATTTGCGTGACATCTCATTTTGAATAGGTTAAGTTGCAGCAAATCAGGTCTCTGCCTTCAGTCTGATGTATTCCACAGAAAAGAGGAAAAAAGCCTCCACTGGAGATGTAATTTGTAAATTGAAATTCATCATTTGTTTTCTATAGCAGCAAACAGGAACATATGGATTTCATGTTTAAATTATTCACTTTCCATACCATTATCACGTTATCATTTTTTGATGTGAGATAATATTAAACCTCTGTAATTGTTCTTAATTTTGACTGATGTTCTTGCATTGCTTACTAGACAGTTCTGTCTGAGGTACACAAGTGTACAAAAGGCTTGCAGACTTCTGTATTTAGGGAAGTTAAGGCCATCGTCATTGCCTTGTTTCAGTGTGGGTAATTTGTTCCAGTCTCCAAAACCATATTGAATCTTGGGTTGCAGGAAGTGGTTTTCACCCACTTTGGTGTTGGTGAGATGACTGAGAGTACTCAATTGTGCTTTAGTATCCTTTTAAAGAATAAGATCTTTATTATATACAACTTTTTAACTCATAAGGACCTAAATTCACATGTGGAATTAAGCTTCTATTTTTGTGCCCATTGCAGAGTTTTTATTGTATATCAGGACTTCCTTATCACTGTTTGATTGGAAGGAAGTAACAATTTCAAGGGATGGCTGTATTTTGAAATGTTGGGACCAAAAATTGCCCTATGTCATCTGTTGTATGTAACTCTAAATGTGATCGTTGTTGCCCTTGCTCCAGGAGATGACAGAACAGTAAACCATGGAGTGGGCACACAGACATTTGCAGTGGAACCTGGTGAATTTCAGTCCTACTGTATCTGCATCCTCTGCCTGTATGTCCACACAAATTTACAAAGATGGGCTGTTCTTAGATAAATAGATGTTTAAGCCAGAGGTGGTCACGAGCAGCAGTTGATGTTCCCATCTTCCCTGGAATCCGGCTCAAATGTTAGGAGTCCTCAGAAAAAGAGCTTTGCTGGTACAGTTCACTCTTCTTGGAGATAGTAAAATGGATAGCAAAGTCTTTTGCTGTGCTCTCTATTCCCCTACACCAGACTGTTGAGTAGCTACAAAGAACAAGCAATTCCTTCCAAGATCAAATACAGCTCTGAGACTCAGCCTCTCTCTTCAGAGCATCACCTGGTGATCCCTGCAATAATGATATGCTCACATGCATCAAGTATTTCTATGATTTTTGTTCCATTCAGGCTAATGGAGTAATATTACATTTGAGGTGTTAAAAATGATTAGACTGAAAATCTTCTAAATTTTTTCAATTGCAGAAATTGTCATGTTTTGCTAATAGTCTTCTGAAAAGCAAATGATACTGAAAGCAATCTGGTAAATAACTGCTTAATTCAGTTCATTGGCTTTGTTCATTTTTGCTTCAGATTTTATTCGTATGAATCCTGTCCACTTGCTAAAAACATCATTGCTTGCAGGCATGATGCTGTTAGGTGGCCCTTCACTAGCAGCTTTGAAGATGCACCAAGATGTGTTGTAACCAGATCTGATTCATTGTCACTTTTTTCTAAACCAGCTACTAATGAGGTGGATTTTTTTCCCCTTGTTTACAAGAAGCACAGTTTCAGACGAGACTCTTCAGACACATGCCTTCTTTCGTCAAAATGCTGCCAATAATTTCAGTTGAAGAGGATAGAGCTATGCATGTAAAATGCTTCACAACAAAGCTGATGGATGGATCTGGCATAAGCTTTGTTTTGTACTTCTGATCTTGGATTGAGAACTGAGAATATCTCTTTATTTCCTGCTTGATGAACATGGTAGATGTAATATTCTTCTCAGGCAGGCTTTTTGTTGTGAGAATGTGAGTGACATTGGGGCTTCTTGCTCCACACACAGTGTTTAAGTTGTCAAAAAATAAAAATCACTGTAGGCATTTGGAGTGTTTCCTTATGTAACTGAGGGAAGGAATTGTACCTGCCTTCATGCTTTGGTTCATGCTGGATCTTCTGTTTGTTTTCCACAAAAATAGCCTTGGCCTTTGAATGTGAAAAACTGGAGGAGAACCTGAATTTAAAATTTTTAGAAAGTCAGAAAGCTGTGAGAAATATGTCCCAGACAGAACTGTGTGTGACATTACAAGAAGTGTCCTCCTGGGACCAGGTTTTATTCTCATCCCATAAACTACTCAAATCCACTCCACAGAGGCAGGACCCACTGGTATTCTGACTTTTCCTGTGTTTTGTTTGGGGCTTTTTAGTCTATGATGGAACTAATATAATTGCTTACCTTGCTTAGTGATTTTCTAAACAAGTTTCAGTTAGGCAGTTGCATTTAAGAAGTCAGGATTTCAGTGTTCCCTGTGTATTTAAGTGGGTTCTGATAGTGTCCCTCAGGAGTCAGTACTGATGTAGTGAAATACCACGCTGGAGGGTTACAGAACAAACAGTTAAAACCAAGTCATTGAGATCACCCCTGCTTTGGCACAGGCAAGTAGAAGGAGCCTTTTCTTCCATAGCAAAGTGCAAGTTTAATACATGTTGAAACTTTCATCTAGGGAAAAAAAAAGTATGACTTTTCAGTGATGTTACGGTAAGTAGAAATTACCCTTGTGTGGTGCTAAATTGAAAATTAAGCATTTGGATAAGGGTGTGCCGTGTTTTTTATCTGTTAGCCTTTGTCTATTAAAATTGTTCTCATTCAGGTATAGTGTGTGCTTCTCAATGGGGAAATTTAATTGTAAGCTTTAGTAGAAGATGTCTGTAGCTGGCAAGCAGCAACACTGATGAGAATAAATATTATGTAGTTCTTACTTAGGGCTATTGATTAGGGGATCTCAATTCATTTCCTTTCCCACAAGGAGGGAAGAGTTACTAAATTGTTTCACATACAGAATTACAGAAATAGGTTTCAGTGAATTTTTCCCTGTGTTGTTTCTGTGGTTTTGGTTTGGGTTATTTTTTCCTCCTGAGAGATGTGTGACCTAAGTCCTATCAGTACAGTAGGCATTCAGTATGGTGCAATTTGTTCACCAGCTCATGTGCCTCTCTTGCCTTCTGGAAATAGTGTATTTGATATTAGCAGAGCTTACACGTGCTGTTGTAGAGGGGTTTGAAGCAACTTCTGTTTCCTCTGCAGATCAAAGCAGCCTGTGGAAGGAGCAGTATTCACCGAGAGATTTGGTGTCAGGCAGTCACTTCTCTGGCAGTTTAAGTGAGAGTTCAAAAAAGATTCCTTTTCCCTTTTACTTGGAAGATTCATAACCCAAACTGCTGGCTCTGTTCATGGGATTTTTTTACACAAAGCCTTACAATATGGCTTCTTACATATACTTACTTGGATTCTTGCCTTTAATTTGTATACACATTTGTTTGACTCCTCCACCAATAATTACACGATCAGTCAGAGTTGTAATTCTGAAATGCAGCCTAGGTAAAACTCCCACTGGTTGGTAGTGTGAGCTGTACCCCTGTTGGTAGAGCAGAGGTAGAAACCCACTTTGTGCAATGCCTGTCTGCTTTTTCTAATTCTGCTATTGTTTTAAAAATCTATGCCCTGCATGTCAGTCATCTCTTGTAAAAGCAGGGCTTCTGACCAAGAGCATTGATTGAATAAGAATTATCTAATGTAATGTGATCTAAAAGCTCACAGACTGGGAACTCCTGAAAACCTGGCATGGGAGGAATTTTTTTTCCCCTTCATTTGTCATGAAGTTAATATATGCAGCTACTCAGGCATGAGAAGATAAAGGGAGAAAAAATAGGTTGTGAACATTATAGTTCATCCAGATGCTTAGAAATAAGCAGTCATGTTTTTCCAAATTATGCAACTGATTTAAAAGTAATGATATATTTTAAAAATTAAGCCCCTGAGATTTTTGCCTCCTGGATAAAATACTCATAATTTTCATATTTTTCTCAGCAATTCCAAGAATTATAAAACAGCTACTTAAAAAGACCCAGCAATTCCTAAATACTCTCTTTTCTTGTTGTTTCTGGAGTTTTTACGGAAACATCTACCATCACCAGAACTGGAGAATTTAGTAGCAATATTACTGATGTAAATTGAATTCCTTCTTTCCTGTGCCATCCCTCTGCTCTGGCTAAAATGTTGGAATACTTTGGCAATGTGGACAGTGAGGGATGACAGTGTGAACAATAGTATTAGGCAAGTTTATGAAGTGCCTCTAAAATTAGGACTTCCTGTTGTTCAGTAAAAAGGCAGAAATTAATGTGATAGTCAAGAAAAAATCTATTGTCCATGCAAATTTCAAAACAAAACCAGATTTTTTTTTCCCTCTCAAAATCCTGCCACCCTCTTCAGGAGAGGTAGGGTTCCCTTCTGAAATGTCTGCATGCCTTCTGTGCATGTGAAACATTTTTAGTTAAGAAATAACCCTCTGTTTTTCATGATCCTGAAGCTGATCACCCTAACTGCTCATGATGCTGTCACAAGCAACAGAATCCAAGGTTCCTAGAAAGGATTGGTATCCTGAGTGTGCTTCTCCCTGTCCCTGGCATTTTCTGAGTCTGTCACGTTTGCCTCATTGGCCAGCAGCAAAGATTGAAATCTTGATTATTGGAAGGTGGTGTGCTGGCATGTCCCAACAGTGGGGCATAAGCACACTTCAAAGACATTGAACCCAAGACTAAAATTTCCCTTAATTTGGGCTCAGACAATTTTGGTTTCCAAGTGGAGTCCACTGATTTGCAGGTGGGAGAGGTGGAGCTGTAGAGGAAAGAGTTTGGGGAGCTGTGGTATTTCAGCTACAGCTTGTCTCCAACTAATGAAGTCATGTCAGAAAATGGTGGAAGTATTAATAGGAATGAAGTAGGATTTTCTGCATTCACTGTGCAGTTGAAAGTATTGCTTTTGAATTACACACTGTCCCTAGGTACCAGACTTAGCAATAGCGTAATGTAGAATGGAATATGTCAGCCCTTGTGCATGTTATTTACCATGTTGCTTTGCCTTCCCTTTCCAGCACTTACAGAACCCAGCAAACTTCCATAATGCAGCAACAGAGCTCCTGGACTGGTGTGGAGACCCCAGAGCTTTCCAGAGACCATTTGAGCAGAGCCTGATGGGCTGTTTGACGGTATGTCCATCCTACTGTGACAGTGGCTCCTTCTGTTTTATACTGTGTTCCTTCTCTCGTGGCCAAGGGAACTTGATTTTCAGAATCTGCATTTTAAGGGGATTTTTGTCATTTTACCTTAAATACATAAAGCCAGATCTTAAGACCTGTTTATTTGACTCCATTGCTTAACAGGGAGTAAAATGCAATAACAAGAAGTTGGAGCATAAGAGATGTTTTTGTTAGATAGCATACAAATGCACAGGCTAGATTATTTGTTATACACATACAGTGTTATTTCATGTCTTGAAATTGCTAAGTGAGCCATGTTCATGTAGAATGATGAACATTCCAGGTATTTGTTTTCCCTTGACATTTTTGGTAGGGCTGAATGACTGCTTGCTTTTTATTCTAAGTATACTGTGCTCCCGGGTTATGACATGCTTGTTCAGCTTACTTTATTACACCCATTGACTGCAGGTCTCATCCTGACATACTAATTTCTACAATTTCCTTGATTTCAGTGCTTTTCTTTTCATTCACTTTTCATTAAGACCACTGTAGTTCCTAACGTGTTCATTATAATGCATATTTGTCTGTGCATTTTTGTTTTGAAAATTTTATTTTCCAGCAGCAGCAGTCCAGAACTGTTACATGGATTCAAGACTTTATATGAATTAAATTCTGACTGAGCAGGGGGGTTAAAAACCTCACTGCAGTTTGCCAAGCAAGTTGATCTAAACAAATAGTCACAAAAGAAACAGAAATTCTGAAATTATTAATTAAGAGACTGTAATTTTGTTTGTTGTGGGGCAGAAGTGTATGTATTATTTTCAAGCAATGTGTAGCTGGTATACATAAAACAGACATTAAGACTGAGATTTAATTGCCAGAAATCCAAATGTTAAGGAATGGCTCCATCTTAGTGTGCTCCAGTGTATAGCATCCCTCAGATTTGTATGTCAAAAAGTTAGAATAAATCCAATTATAATAGGAGATGCATATACTCTTCCAGTCAGGGAAAGAATAGAGGAAGTTAAAAATCGTAAATTCCAAAGATAGAATATTTAACAATTCTGTCTGAAGTAAAAGTTATCAGTAGCATCAATTTTGAGAAACTGTACATAATGTCCGATGTGGCCATAACAATATTTTATTTATACTTTTTGAAAACTTTACTAGCATTTTTCAGGGTAGTTTTTGGGAAAGGAGACATTCACCTCAAGTATAATTGGGCAATCTGTGCACAATATTTCTCTGCAGCCCCTGCTAGAACATTGTGAGTCTGACCTGTGACTTCCTTGCTGTTTAAATCTTTTCTTTCTACGTGAGCAGATCTTAAGCCCTGCCCAAGTGGAGGGTCACAATAAGGTCTGACTGCCAGTGATTCATTCTCCTCACAGAGTGTACAGAAAGTGGGCAGGAAATGTTCCATGAAAACTGGTGAGGTAAAACACAATAAATGGTTTTCAGTGTGTTGAAATGAAAATGCTGTTTTTCTTCTGACAAGAATGAAAGAAAAAAAAACAATTTTACCATCTAAGTACTGTTAATATTTGAGCCACATGTATTACTTTGCTTCATACTTCTTCCTGAAATCTGAACGGGGTGGCGTGCTCCCTTTCCCAAGCTTGTTGTGGGAGAGAACTGTCTGCAGTGTAGGACTGACTGGCAGCAGCATCTTCATCATATGTTGCAATCTCATTATATTCCTGGCAAGGAAATAACACAGGAGCTTAACCTGGTGGCTTGTTCTGTGTTTGATAAATACACAGGATTTGCAGAATGCCTATAACCTGCAATGAATGTGTTTCTTGCTCTTAATTTTAAAATCCCTTGAAGAAAGATATGCTTTAATTTCTCATTGTACATCCCTCCTTTTCTTCCTGCTTCCCATTAAACAGACTTAACAGCATGGTTGTGTCCCAAGAGGTTTGTACTTCCTGTATCTTCTTAATACATTAGCAGTACAGTGGGCAAGGTCTCTTTTTTATTTTTTTTTAAATTTTTCTCCTTTTATGTGTATTTTTTCTATTTAAGCCTATTTCTAATTCTTTCTAATTAATATGTTCTGAGTCATAATTTAGTAAACGTAGATTGTTAGGCTTATTATTTCCTTACAGGAAAAGGGTTTTATCTACTTTTATTTAACAAATGTGATAGAACTTCAGTGTGTTTTCAGAGACATTATTCAGAAAGTTGCAAATAAATCAAAGGTAGCTGAAATAATGGAATATCATGAGTAGATTTAACACCAGTTTGCACAGCTTCATGTTCTGTACAATCGGGAGCCTATTTTATTTAATGCTGATAAGGTTTACCAGTTTTTACTTCTTTGTGAGGATTATGCTAAATGAAAAATAAAAAATAAATATGAAAGTCTATTCAATCACTGAAACAAGATTATTGTTTTATTATGCTAGCCTTTAAAATGACCTTCAAAATCAAATTTCCTTAAAATTTCCATATTTTTGGATATGCTTTTTAAAGCAAGTGATCTCAACCATCATTACAACATTTGAGCTGTGTGGTTCTTTAAGGCATTTAATTTGGACAGTCTACAATATTAAAAATGCTTGCTTGCTCATAAAGCTTCCCGTCTGTATTATTGAGAATGATTTTTATTATTTTATGCCATTCTGTTCTGTTAACTCTCTGACCAGGGAAAAAGTGGCATGCTAAGCTGTTCTGGAACCATCAAAGGGATATGAAATGATCATGTCCTATGAGTGGTAACACGATATATACTAATCCAAATTGAAACTTACTGGGATGTCATGAATGCAGAGAGGCAGGTTCTCTCAGGAATGTGCAAACATTTATTCACACACTGCACAGTTGAAATGCATCAGATGTAATGACAGAGCATCAAAACAGATCTATTGTGGTAAGAATAGCCAGCTGAATAGATTATCACACATCAGCATAACATGGGTATCACAGGTATAACAGATCCTTTGCATCATTTAAGTCCTATGTATAGCCTGTTGCAAAAATTAACCAATTAGATTTAATCCAGTTAATAACAGAGAACTATGCTCACAGTCTTGAAATAAGGCTTTAATTTAAGAAGTGGCTCTTAGGAGTAGTTCTGTGCCTGACACATTGTCTTTGTGTTGGGACTGTCAGTAATGTCTGGTAACTTTTTAACCACCTGAATGTTTGTATTCCTGCTGCCTGTCTTAGGATAGATGCAGAAGAATGATCCTGGAAATATTCTGCCTGGTCAATAGCAGAGGAGCTTCCAGCTTCATTTATGGAATTACTGGTTTTGTTAATAATATATAGAATAATATATAGAATAGGCTGTTGTAGAGGGTTTTCTTAAATTGTAATACTAGCACTTAAATTGTAAGTGCTAGCACTTAGAGAAATCTTGGTGATTTGAAAATTTCGTAAGTTCACTAGACAGCAATTGTTGAACAATAAGATGTGTAGCACATGTTTAGTATTTGTCTTTCTTTGGTGGTTTGGGTTTTTTTTTAGAATAATCTGTGCACAGTATACATACTGGCTATTTGCAGTAGATAATTTTTCCACATCAGCAGTACTTTATCATTCTGAAGTTACATGTGCTACTGTGGGCTCCAGTGGCATTGTGTGCAATGTAATAGGAATGATTTTCTTATCTCTAGAAGACTCAAGATTTGATACAACAGCTAAATTTTGCCAGAGAGGTACCTAATCAGGTATGTAAACTTCATTTCAGTAGTCAAATACTTCACATAATGGATACTTTAAATAATTACTCATTTAGAATTTTAATAATTTCTTTTTGTGATAAATAAATTAGGCTAATGCTGTCAAGGCCTATGAATAGAATTGCGGTATTTCTGTGCCTTGCAAAGAGTCAAATAGAAAAGGATACATAGGTAAACCAATGACTTGTGCCATAAATAGAAGATACTTTTTCATTAACTAAGCCCCAAAAGCTGTGCCTCTTCTGGCCAAAATGTGATGCATGTGCATTGTGTTATGTTCAAACAGTTCTGACAGACACTAATTCTAGAGCTTAACTTTTTGTGCTTACCCGTTAGAGAAAACCACTAAAGTGAATGGGTAATAAAAAATTATAAAGAATACTCATTTCAACAGATAAATAAGAAGTCAGGGATAAAGGGGTAAGTTTTGAATCTGTTTTGTTTCTTGCAAGCTTACAGGCTTTGGAAAGGTTCCCTTAAGCAGTTTCAACAGAACTCATGCAAACAAATTATGATCTTTCTCAGAGACAATAAAATTTCTTCTAACTTGCCAAGAAAAGCTAGGTGTTATTTTTCAACAGTAGTTATTTTCAAATCAAATAGACAGTCTGTAGGCCAGAAATTGAATTATTATTGAAATCATTGATTCTATAAATTATTGAAATGGCAATGGATATGGTGTTCTTCTGTATATAATACTACTTCTTCCATGGTGTTATGGGGAGCTGATGAAAACAGCCTCCACTTTCCACAAACCAGACATAGTTGTGTTTTTATTAGGATTGAAAAAATTTCTTACTCTAGCACTAGAGTATATTATGGCAAGGCTTGATAAATTTAAGAATATAATTCTCTAAAAATGTACTGTATATGGCATTACCTTACAGTCTTCTGTAATAAACAGCTTCAGTTACTACACAGCAGTTTAAAAAAATAACCCTGTTTCAGTCAAATCAGATACCAGTCCAAGCAATGAAATTAAAATACTTTAATCCTCCCAGGTTAGCTTTTCTCCTAACCATATCCCAATCCATATGGATACTAAAAGTCAAGTTTAACAGTCATGTTGAGCAAACAATTACACAGTAATTAAATTATATCTTTGTGTATAGGAGACAAAAGCAAAATATTGGTCAAAAGCTTTTCAGGAAAGAATGCTTCAAAGTAGACTGCAATACAAATGACTTTGAGTCAGCATTTGCCCAGGCTGTTTCATTAATTTCTGCCTCTTCTCAGGTCCAGTGTAGTGTCATCCCATGGGTGTGCTCTTGCCAAGCAGTTCAACATGTAAATGATCTCATTGAAGGCTTTGGGTAAGGT